AGTACTACACTAGTACTATAGTAGTATAGTAGTACTATACTATAGTATAGTAGTACTATACTATAGTATAGTAGTACTATAGTAGTATAGTAGTACTATAGTATAGTACTATACTATAGTATAGTAGTACTATAGTAGTATAGTACTATAGTAGTATAGTAGTACTGTAGTAGTAGTATAGTACTACTATAGTAGTATAGTAGTAGTATAGTAGTATAGTAGTACTATACTACTATAGTATTACTATAGTAGTATAGTAGTACCATACTATAGTATAGTAGTACTATAGTAGTATAGTAGTACTATAGTAGTAGTATAGTAGTACTATAGTAGTATAGTAGTAGTATAGTAGTATAGTAGTACTATAGTAGTATAGTATTACTATAGTAGTATAGTAGTACCATACTATAGTATAGTAGTACTATACTATAGTATAGTAGTACTATAGTAGTATAGTAGTACTATAGTAGTAGTATAGTAGTACTATAGTAGTATAGTAGTAGTATAGTAGTATAGTAGTACTATAGTAGTATAGTAGTACTATAGTATTATAGTACTATAGTAGTACTATAGTAGTATAGTAGTACTATACTATAGTACTACTATAGTACTATAGTAGTACTATAGTAGTATAGTAGTACTATACTATAGTATAGTAGTACTATAGTAGTATAGTACTATAGTAGTATAGTAGTACTATAGTAGTAGTATAGTAGTACTATAGTAGTACTATAGTAGTATAGTAGTACTATAGTAGTATAGTACTATACTACTATAGTAGTACTATAGTAGTATAGTACTATAGTAGTACTATAGTAGTATAGTACTATAGTAGTACTATAGTAGTATAGTAGTACGATAGTATAGTAGTACTATATAGTAGTATAGTACTATACTACTATAGTAGTACTATAGTAGTATAGTACTATAGTAGTATAGTAGTACTATACTATAGTACTACTATAGTACTATACTAGTACTATAGTAGTACTATAGTAGTATAGTACTACTATACTACTATAGTAGTACTATAGTAGTATAGTACTACTATAGTAGTAGTATAGTAGTACTATAGTAGTGCTATAGTAGTATAGTAGTACTATAGTAGTATAGTACTATACTACTATAGTAGTACTATGGTAGTATAGTACTATAGTAGTAGTATAGTAGTACTATAGTAGTATAGTACTATAGTACTACTATAGTACTACTATACTATAGTACTACTATAGTAGTATAGTACTATACTACTATAGCACTACTATAGTACTACTATAGTAGTATAGTACTATACAACTATAGTACTATAGTAGTATAGTACTATACTACTATAGTAGTACTATAGTAGTATAGTACTATACTACTATAGTAGTACTATAGTAGTATAGTACTATAGTAGTATAGTAGTACTATACTATAGTACTACTATAGTACTATACTAGTACTAGTAGTACTATAGTACTAGTACTAGTACTATAGTAGTATAGTACTACTATAGTAGTATAGTAGTACTATAGTAGTATAGTAGTACTATAGTAGTATAGTAGTACTATAGTAGTATAGTACTATAGTAGTACTATAGTAGTACTATAGTAGTGCTATAGTAGTATAGTAGTACTATAGTAGTATAGTACTACTATACTACTATAGTAGTACTATAGTAGTATAGTAGTACTATAGTAGTATAGTACTATACTACTATAGTAGTACTATAGTAGTATAGTACTATAGTAGTATAGTAGTACTATACTATAGTACTACTATAGTACTATACTAGTACTATAGTAGTACTATAGTAGTATAGTACTACTATACTACTATAGTAGTACTATAGTAGTATAGTACTACTATAGTACTACAGTATAGTACTACTATAGTACTATAGTAGTATAGTACTACTATAGTAGTAGTATAGTAGTACTATAGTAGTGCTATAGTAGTATAGTAGTACTATAGTAGTATAGTACTATACTACTATAGTACTATAGTAGTATAGTACTATAGTAGTAGTATAGTAGTACTATAGTAGTATAGTACTATAGTACTACTATAGTACTACTATACTACTATAGTACTACTATAGTAGTATAGTACTATACTACTATAGTACTACTATAGTACTACTATAGTAGTATAGTACTATACTACTATAGTACTACTATAGTAGTATAGTACTATACTACTATAGTAGTACTATAGTAGTATAGTACTATACTACTATAGTAGTACTATAGTAGTACTATAGTAGTATAGTACTATACTACTATAGTAGTACTATAGTAGTACTATAGAAGTACTATAGTAGTATATAGTGCTATATAGTACAGCAGTACTACAGTACTATATAGTACTGCAGTACTGCAGCAGTAGTAAAACAACATTGCCAGTACTACTGGGTACTACAGCTACTGTAGTACTCAGTAGTACTGACTGTAGTACCCAGTAGTACTGACTGTAGTAATGTGTGTTCCAGGTGTGGTGCGGGGGAATCTCCGTGGGAACGGGCCTGCAGGTGCCGAGCTTCATGGCAAACTTTGTGTCGTCCAATCACAGCACGGCAGCGGATCAATCACTCTGATTAAATATTTATTCATTTTATATTAATGATAGAAAATATTTCTAGAAGCGTCTTGTAGAGGAAATTATCATCTCTGCAGATTTGATGGATTTGCTCAGACTTTTATTGTGAAGTACTTAGGAAAATCAGCGGATCAACACCCTGACCTTTCACATTAAAAGCATTGATATGATGCAGTCGCTCTGATGGTTTCATTGGTTTCTTCACTAGTAATTCTGACCTGCTGCTGCTGCCATTAAAGGAAAAAGGCTTTTATTGTGATATGGTGTCAGAAAGAGACAGGAAGTGATGTCACCCCAGATTCACGGCCCAGTCAAAGTCCAGACCTGCTGGGAGACATCAGCAGAACCAGACGGGTCAGAACCAGCAGGGCTCTGATTGGCTGCATGGCAACTAGTTATTCATAAATAATTTCCAACTTATCTGTAAATAAAATGGAAGTTATTTATAAATTATGACTTATTTCCATAAATTAGTCCAAAGTAATGTATGAAGGTTTTTATTTATACATAAAAATGTAAACTTATTTTCAGGCCTGGTTCTGGTTCTGGTTCTCATCCAGTGAGTCTGGGTTGGTTGGGAGAACTGGGCCCAGTATGGACACAAATGGGTCACATTTGCTGGATAATAAATAACTTTAATTTTCCACAAACAGCAGAAGGATGAGACTACGGAGCCCCACAAGGGACATGCAGGACGTCCCTCTAAAGTAGCGATCAGTTCGTTCATCAGTTCGTTCATCAGTTCGTTCATCAGTTCATCAGTTCATTCATGACACCTGCTGCTGGAATGTGAGGATTATGTCAGGTTTCTCCATGTATGTTAATATTTGGTTGCTAAATATGTGAAGTTTTCCATCTTTTTCTTTGGGACAGAAATTCATATCAGACTGTGTTCAAAATGTAAAAGCTGAACAGGCTGAAGGTTTTCCTCTCTTTCCATCCATAAACAGAAACTTCCTGTAAGAAGGAAAGAAATGAAAATACATCCAAACTATTTGCTCTATTTCTGGGTTATTGTCAGGATGACATCTGGAGGCGTCTTTGCGAATAAAACTGTTTTATTTCTCTTCATACAAAAACTCAGCCTGTCTCACTCGATCAAAGCGTTGCATTCAATGACATTAAGGAAATATCAGCACCAAGGATCAAGACACACAAAACCAAGTTCTGAAGGAATGAACGAACTGATAAGTCCAGGTGTCTCTGAGTGTCTCCAGGTGTCTCTGAGTGTCTCTGGGTGTGTCCAGGTCTCTCTGGGTGTCTCTGAGTGTCTCCAGGTGTGTCCAGGTGTCTCTGAGTGTCTCTGGATGTCTCCAGGTGTGTCCAGGTGTCTCTGGGTGTGTCCAGGTGTCTCTGAGTGTCTCTGGGTGTGTCCAGGTCTCTCTGAGTGTCTCCAGGTGTGTCCAGGTCTCTCTGAGTGTCTCTGGATGTCTCTGAGTGTCTCCAGGTGTCTCTGAGTGTCTCTGGGTGTGTCCAGGTGTCTCGGGTGTGTCCAGGTCTCTCTGAGTGTCTCCAGATGTCTCTGAGTGTCTCCGGGTGTGTCCAGGTCTCTCTGAGTGTCTCTGGGTGTCTTCAGGTGTGTCCAGGTGTCTCTGAGTGTCTCTGAGAACTTTGTTGCAGCTTGTAGAACTCTGTAATGTCTCACATTGAAACATTTCAGTCTCACGTTTCAGGCTTTCCTCTAACAGCTTCTTGCTTTTTGACCCAGTCGGGCCTCCATATCTTTTCTACTTTGGAGTGAAGTCGTAGAACACAGGGTCAAAGTTCAGTCCTCAAAGTGTCCTGCAGTTTTTAGATGAACCACTGGGACAAAACGCTGGAATGAAACGTCTTCATGACCTCCTGGTGTGGATCGGTTCTCCAGAACCTCGATGACTCATTATTCTGTCCAGGAGCATCTAAAGACTGCTGGTCCCCCAGTGGCCCCCAGTGACCCCCAGTGACCCCCAGAACCTGTCGTAGAAATATTCCCACCTGAAGCTAGAAGATGAGACAAAAAATAATACAAAATCAGAACAATTTATAATTCACACATCAGATCTCATAACAGATCTGCTGGTCATGGTGACCCCACGCTGGTCATGGTGACCCCACGCTGGTCATGGTGACCCCACGCTGGTCATGGTGACCCCACGCTGGTCATGGTGACCCCACGCTGGTCATGGTGACCCCACGCTGGTCATGGTGACCCCACGCTGGTCAGTCTGTTTGCCGTAAACACAGCAAAACTGAATGTGTTTTGGTTTTTCTGGCCACAATAGAATAAAAATAACTTTAAAGTAGAAATTATTATAAACAACATTTTTGGGAAAAAGTGATTGATTTCAATGATTGCGATGCAAAATGATGATTAAAAGCCACTTCCCCAAACCCATCGAGTTCGGTTCCGGTTCCGATGACAACAGGAAGCTGTCATCGGAATGCGGAGCGTCACGTGACGCTCCGCATTGTGACGCAGATCAGCTGACTGCAGAGGAAGCTGCATCCTTCTCACGACCTTCATCGTTTCGCTGATTTTCTGCGGTTCCGTTCCCGGTTCTGTTCCTGGTTCCGTCCCGGTTCGGCCCGGTTCCGACCCGCCATGGCGAGTCAGTCTCAGGGGATCCAGCAGCTGCTGCAGGCCGAGAAACGAGCGGCAGAGAAGGTGACGGAGGCCCGGAAACGTGAGTAAAACTTTCGGTCCGCTGAGGGGCTGCAGCGTTTGGGTCAGAGCCGAACCCGGTACCGGGCAGCGGGGGCTCGGTGCCGGGGTCTCGGTGGGTCTGGTTGGACCCGTTTGGACCCGCTAGGACCGATCAGTGGACTCCTTCAGGTGGTCGCTGCAGAACTCGGTGATAAAACCAGCGCATTTAACTTTTATCATCAGCTGCGCGGTCGGAACCGGAACATTTTACCGAACCGGAACCGGTTTCTGAAACGAAAAAGTACCCTTGCTTCGTCGGCTCACAGTTTATGCAGTTCTGTCCGGTTCTGGAGGGTATTCTGCACTGAACCATCCGTGCTCTTGGACTGAGACATGGGCCGAACTACCAGAACCGGATCGGTTCGGCTCGGTCCATCGGAAGGGCCCAGTCAGGACGGTAGAGGTTCCTGTCCGGTTCCCTCTGATGATGACATCACGTGATGTCCTGGGATTGGCTGGTTCGGTAAGCAGGGCTCGGTTCCGACCCAGTTGAGTTGATGCAGAGGTTCTGAATGGAGAACCGGAACCTGCTGAGGAATCCATGACGGTTATTTTACTCACCAACTATTTAAAGGACTTTTATTTTGGTGCTCAGGAAGTTTGTTTGAACATTTCCTCTGGCTCACTGACCCAGTTCTACTGGGCCGGAACCGCAGACCGGACCGGGTCTTTTGAGGAAAAATGAAACTGTTGGTTGGCTTGAAGCTGCTGTGGTTCTGGTTCTGGTTCTGGTTCTGAGGGTTTTGTTCTGTGTGCAGGGAAGAACCGGCGCCTGAAGCAGGCCAAAGAGGAGGCGCAGGCCGAGATCGAGCAGTACCGTCTGCAGCGCGAGAAGGAGTTCAAGACAAGGAGGCGGCGGTGAGCTGGTCCTGACCCGGTTCTGACCCGGTTCTGATCTGGACCTGACCCGGTTCTGACCGGGTTCTGATCTGGACCTGACCCGGTTCTGATCTGGACCTGACCCGGTTCTGACCCGGTTCTGATCTGGACCTGACCCGGTTCTGACCGGGTTCTGATCTGGACCTGACCCGGTTCTGACCGGGTTCTGATCTGGTCCTGACCCGGTTCTGACCCGGTTCTGACCTGGTTCTGACCCGTTCTGATCTGGACCTGACCCATTGGTTTTTAACTTGTTTGACCTCTGACCCTCTCAGGCCCTCGGTTCCCATGGTAACAGCGCCGTGGAGGTGGACCGCGACACGGCGGAGAGGATGGCTCGCATCCAGGACAGTTACCGCGGTAACCGTGAGACGGTGCTGAACGAGCTGCTGCGGCGGATCTGCGACATCCAGCCGGAGTTTCACGCCAACTACGCGTGGCGGCTGCTGAGGGGGCGGGGCTTCCGCTGCCCTGAGGGGGCGGGCTTCCGCTGCCCTGAGGGGGCGGGGCTCCGCTGCCCTGAGGGGCGGGGCTTAGTGTTGCTGTTCCTGTGCTGTTTACAAAGTATTTGTACTTCAAAATAAAGTTTGTTTCTTCTGGAATTTAACAAAATAAAAGTCTGGTAATCCAGCCAATCACGTGACAGAATCTCCTGATATGAGGAACACCTGATTGGCTGGAGAAGACACTCTTATTGTGAAACTCTGCTATTACAACAATGTTTTCCTGTTTGTGACCATGTGACTTTGTGTTGATTGTGATGATGGAACATTAAAGTGAATCTGATTGGCTCAATGTGCATCATGACGTTCCCCAGTTTCCTGGTTTTCACTTTCTGTTTCCAGTCCTGATGAGATGAGATGGGGGTCAGCGACCCGCGGCTCGTCAGCGACCCGCGCGACCCGCGGCTCGTCAGCGACCCGCGCGACCCGCGGCTCGTCAGCGACCCGCGGCTCGTCAGCGACCCGCGCGACCCGCGGCTCGTCAGCGACCCGCGGCTCGTCAGCGACCCGCGCGACCCGCGGCTCGTCAGCGACCCGCGCGACCCGCGGCTCGTCAGCGACCCGCGCGACCCGCGGCTCGTCAGCGACCCGCGCGACCCGCGGCTCGTCAGCGACCCGCGCGACCCGCGGCTCGTCAGCGACCCGCGCGACCCGCGGCTCGTCAGCGACCCGCGCGACCCGCGGCTCGTCAGCGACCCGCGCGACCCGCGGCTCGTCAGCGACCCGCGCGACCCGCGGCTCGTCAGCGACCCGCGCGACCCGCGGCTCGTCAGCGACCCGCGCGACCCGCGGCTCGTCAGCGACCCGCGCGACCCGCGGCTCGTCAGCGACCCGCGCGACCCGCGGCTCGTCAGCGACCCGCGCGACCCGCGGCTCGTCAGCGACCCGCGCGACCCGCGGCTCGTCAGCGACCCGCGCGACCCGCGGCTCGTCAGCGACCCGCGCGACCCGCGGCTCCCACACATTTCAAAATGTTTGAAAAAGATGAGTGTGGGAAATATGTTTTTGTTGTACTTTGGTTTCTGTTGGAGGACAAACATGACAATCATTCTTAACGTTTTCATAAACACAACATTTCAAGAAAGATTGGGTCGCAGGCTGTGGCAGGCAGAAAGTTGAGCTAACAACCCACGGTGTGGTGGACTGAGGAGACATCGTCCAGTTGTTGGACCTGCAGGTTTGTCCCATAAAGCGTCATGCAGGATAAAGAGCTCAGCTTCCTGCCGGACTGCAGCGGTTCGGGTGCAAAGTGTCGTTTTGTGCCTGAGACATCCGGGGTGTGGAAGACATTTCACACCTGCCTTTGGCACATATATTTAGGAACAAGGCGGCTGTTTCATGCATCATTAGTGAGTTTTTTCTCCATATATTTAACGACATTCATGTGTTTGTTGCTCATTGGCATTTCCACACAAATCAAACAAACTGCAGCCATTTCATTTCATATACTTTTATTTTGTAGCTGCAGGTTGTTTTGTTGCTCTCCGTTTAATGCCCAGATCAGCGGCACGTGAAGCCCGTTTCATTCCATTTGGTTCCATTCCGTTTAGTTCCGTTCCATTCCGTTTCGTTCCGTTCCGTTTTGTTCCGTACCGTTCCGTTTCGTTCCGTTCCGTTTCGTTCCGTTCCGTTTTGTTCCGTTCCGTTTCGTTGCTGTTCTACCTAACCCTAACTTACCGTGATTATTTACTGTCGTTATGCAAAATGCATTTGGAGCAGATTTTCCAAAAGAAAAAAAATACTTTTTCCTGTTGATCTTCATCATAAAAATGACATTAAAGAAAATTAGATTTCTTTATTTCATTTCTTTAATTTTATCAATGCAACGAAACATAAACATTAATCTTGTAATGGGAGCTAAACTTAAAGCGCCGTCGTACAACAGAGTCACGTGGTGCGTCATTCCGTCCAGGACGCACAGCAGGAAGATGAACATTTGATCATGAATGCTAATTATGTTTACACTTAGTCATTTTGATAATTCTGTTTTGCCTTCACTATTAGCCTGATATGAGGCTTTTCATATTTTGCGGCACTAGATTAGTTTTTGGTTTTATGGTCCAATATGGCTCTTTCAACATGTTAAGTTGCCGAACCCTGGGTTAGGGGTTAGGGGTTAGGGGTTAGGGGTTAGGGGATCCTTGCAGGCTACAGTTCGTCTGTGATCCGCCAGGCGGAGCTGCAGATGTTTCCAAGTACACTTGGCTGCAGCATGCGGAAAGGGGCGGGGACGGACCACTGTCAGTCTCAGACCTTATATGGAAATGGGACTATTGCATTCCGGAAATGAAGGGGGCGCCAGTGACACCATTTCCTGTACCAGTCGTGTTTTAATAATTATAATAATAACGCATTTTATTTGACAACGCCTTTCAAAACACCCAATAACACTTTTAAAATTTAAAATTAATTACAAATTAACTACAAATTAAACAGTAAGGAAATGACATACCAGGTGTTATGTCACGTGGTATATCTGTCACGTGGTAAGTCTGTCACGTGGTATGTCCCTTTTTTATTTTTAGATCTTTATTAAATCTTTGTTTTCGGATGTTAAAATTATATCAGTAACAAACAATCTATAATAAGCAATAGTAAGGAATCATTATGGAGATGTATTTATCTATCCTTACACCCTAACTTTCCCAAACAAAAGTCATAAAACATAAATTAACATTTTAGAGACAAATGTACACTACATTAAGAACACATTTATCAATCCATCAATGATTTTACTCTCAGGTTATCCGTGCAGTGGGTGATGAGAGCTGCTGCAGTGGACAGATCGCCAGTCCATCGCAGAAAACAGATATAAACAAATACTTGCTGGTGTTGAAGTTCAAATAATAGATTTTGATGTTGTGAATGGTACTCTTAAAATAAATAAGTTAAAATCTAAAATATAATATCCTTTGCCTTATTTAATAAGGACTAGATGGAAAAGAGGCCGATAGTCAAAATCGTTGACTAACGGTAAAACATTTAGTCAACAGTTTTTGCCAACTGGGTTCATCCATTCACAGAACACTTTTGTTTTATTTGCCAAGTATTTTTCTTATTATTCACATTGTGATATAATTTACAAACAAATGACTTTAGAACTTCTAAACAAGCTCGACTATATCATTGTTTACCATAATGTCTAAACTGATTGGTGTCCCACTATTCTGTTTAGAAATTCAAAATCAATTCTACCAATTGCAATTGATTCATAAACTGCGCCCCAAAGACCTTAAATATGCAATTGTTGCAAAACCCAAAGTGATTCATTTAAAACTTTAAATGTAGCTTCAACCTGGAAAGACTCACAGAAAGCAGGTTTTAGAAACTTTATTTGATAAGAAATGACCTTCGGACCTGGCAGTAGACACTGCGCTGGTAACTGCCAGAGAGAATGACTCGCTGTTGGTTTTCTCTATGAAAACCTTTTTGAATAAATTCACTGGATACATAAATTAAATCTATGTGTAAATTGTAACCGTCTCCTCTGATCACGGCGCCGGTCTCATCTCCTCCGTTCTTCACAAACTCCGGCTTGATGTGCAACTGCTCCTCACCTGAGCCTCCATCACCTCCACCTGGTCTCCACCTTCACTCAGCTCACCTTTAGTCTTATGTTTGTATTATGACTCTGTAACTAAACAATGTTTCTGTTGTTCTTGCTTTATTATAAAACAACAGTTGATTCTGACTGTTAAACAAACTTAGCCGTATGTCAGGTTGTAAAGAACATTTGTAATGATTCCAGTTATTGTTTAAAAAGTATAGGAAACATTGCATTTACACATATAAAATATTGCAAGTATTAACTTAGCATGTATTACAAATTTTTAAAACAAGGTGATCCAATTGCTAAACAACACTGTTACAATATATTTACAACTACTTTATTTGATCTACTCTCTCCAACAAAATACAGCCACAATATAACATCATTTCTTTAAAAACTAAATAATGTAAATCAACTGAGCTACAACAAAAGGAACATTCAAAAATGTACATAATATTGAAATAACACATGAAAACGAATGACTGAACAAGTCAAAAGGCAAATATGCTTCAGCATAAATGATCTAAAACTAATGTGTGACAACTGAAATGTGTGAAAAACTACAGAAAACAACTAATATTGTCCTAGCATTCAGTACTGGCATTCAGGGCAGTGTCCAGATGTGCCATCAGAGTAGTAACGAGGGAACTCTCATCTTCCATGTCCAGTGAAGCCCACACAGTCTTTATGTTGCCGGTTGCAGGAAGAACATCTTACAACCGCAAAAGGAATCCTGTTTTCTGCCTTGCATGAGTCTGAAAATGTCACCCAGCTGATCTCACCTGTTGATGAAAACTGATTTTATGTAGTTGAAATCTAATTTCACATGTTTTAGGTGAAAAAAGTCAAAGGTCCTTACCATCTAGCCAAGCAAAGTGAGTCTTCTTCCTGAAAACTGGGTCAGACACAATGGCTTCTAAGCACTTGCAGGTCAATGCCAAGGTGAGGGAAGATGTGCCTCCCTGTGCCAGAATCACCTCCTGGAGAACAGCTTCCAGTGCAATCAAAGGCATCTGAAAATAATAATAATAAAAAAACATGTGCAATGCAAGACTCATACTGGAAGAATGGCTATGACATGATTATAAATGAATCTTAAAAAAAGAAATGAATAAAATTAAAAAACATTTATATACATTGCAGATATGTTTAAACAAGATGTGATTCATTCTCACTCAGAACAGAGTGAGGACTCAGCCTAATAGCTACTAAGATAAAAGAAAAAGGTTATTACACACCAGGAAATATACAAATGATTGGTAGAACAAAAGGCATGTTTGAATTAATCACTGCAGATTCTTTAACATTGTTGTTACTGTTTTGTAGGATTTAACAATTAATGGCTTCCAGATAACAAATATATGTTCTGCACAAAATGAACAGCCAAAGATTAACTAATCAGATTTACTCAATTACTCTGTAACTTTGATAAAAAAAATAATTAGGACTATTTTTCCAAATGTTATACTCTTGAGTTAATTTTGTTGATATGCAACATAATGCGAGTAACTGAACTGAATGAAGATCACAT